TATGTGAAGTGTTTACACAGTGCCATCTACTGGTTATTTCTTAGCTGTAGAGTTGAGCACATGCCCTTTTTTTTAAAAAATTGAATTTTTTTTTCCACAATCAGTTGTCCCTTTGTGTTAGCATTTTCTTGATTTTGTTTCCTGTGTTTTTTGTTTGGTTAAATGGTAACTCACGGTACCCTAATCTGGGGCACTAGCTGATGCAATTACTGTGCAAGTGAAGTAGCTATTTTAGGAGGTGCATGATTCTGTGGTGATTTTGTGATTTAATTGTATGCATTCATTCAGCTTTAGGACAATAGGAGGTCAGCAATTCCATCAAAACAATTCCCTAAATGATTGTGTGGAAAATGATAATCAGCAAAATGTGCAGTTAGAAAGGTAGCATAGGGGCTGTACTCAAATCCACCAGAACCGCATGGCTGCTTATCTAAGGTTGGGACTAGAGCACTTTATTAGTTAGAGAAGAGGGAAAACTGTTAGCCCCGCCCATGAGTGACCAATATAAAAATAAAAGACTGCTAATGCAGGAAATGTAGATATGAACAGAAAACACTGAAAGCACTCGGCAGATCTGGCAGGAGAGACAAAAGAAATAACCTCTTCAGATCAATGACCTTTCATCAAAATATCAGACGTTCTGATGATGCATCATGAGCCTGAAACAAAATCTCTGTTTCTCTTTTTTTGATGTAGGATTACAATATATTGTTACTATTTGAGAAACTGGATTGGATAGTGGAGGAAAAGATTTTAGTTTCCAGATCTGTGCAGGTGACTTGTTTCTTTTAACTAAGGTCAGAAAGGCCATTTTGAACAGTGAGTTCAAGTATCATTTCCAAGAAAGCATGTGACTTAAGTTAAGTTATTTGATCAGCAACCTGGTGAGTTCACTGATGAATTGTTTACAAACTTGAACTTTAACGATGTGCAGAAAGACAAGCTAAAGGCCCACATCAGGTATCAGTTGAGAAAAAGGACATTCATACCAGGAGAAGGGCAGTTTAGTTTATGGAAGTTCCCAGACTATGAGAATTGGTAGAAATCTGCAGGCTGTCAGAATTGTAAAGAAGTCTCCAGGCCATCAGAGCCGGAAAGAAGTCTTTGTTTACATCAGCAATCCAAAGAGAGAGGCTGGAAAGAGACATTAAAGTAATGATGGATAGAATACTATAGCCAAATTTGCAAACACCACTAAAATAAGTAAGTTGCAACGAAAAAATAAGAAATTTGCAAATGGATATGGATAGGTCAGGTGAATGGGCTACAATGTGGCAGATGGCATTTAATGTGGATAAGAGTAATTTTATTCATTTTGGTCAGAAGAAATGAAAGGCATCTTATTAACTAAATGGCGAGAAACCTCAAGATGCTTCAGTGCAGATGCGTCTGGATGACCTTGTGCATGAGTCACAGAAAGCTAGTTTGCAGGTACAGCAGTAATAAGGAGGGCAAATGAAATTTTGGCACTTATTGCTAAAGGAGTGGAGTATTAAGGTAGGGAGGTGTTGTAATCGTACAAGGCATTGGTGAGACTATATCTGCAGTACTGCATACAGTTTTGATTGAGGAGTTGAGGGCTATGAGGAGCTGGCTGAAAAGAGGAGTTGAGGCCTGAGGTAGAATCACCAAGATATTATTGAAGGGTGGACAGGCTTGAGGGTTTGAAGGAAGGAAATATTTCTGAGAAGGTTGACTAGATTAATTCCAAAAATGGAAGGCTCATTTTATGAGGACAGATTGTGAGACTGTGCAGTTTAAGCCTATACTTGCGAGAGTTTAGAAAGATGAAAGAAGATCTAATTGAGGTCAGTTATGAGATGCCGAAAGGGATTAACAAAGTTGATGCAGAGCGGATGTTTCCCCTTGTGAGACAATCTAGAATGAGAAGTCACAGTTTTAGAGTGAGGAGCACCAAATTTAATACAGAATTACTTCTCACAAAGGTTTGTGAATCTGTAGAATTCCCTACCTCAGAATATGTTGGATGCTGGAACACTGAATAAATTTGAGGAGAAAGACAAAATTTTTAATTAGTAATGGGTTAAACGGGTTGTGGGGAACAGGCAGAGAAGTAGGAGTGTGAGGCCGAGATGAGATCAGCCATGATGTATTGAATGGTGG